TTCATCAAACCTTTAGATCCGCTGCGCATAGGTTTATGTTGAATGTTTGTCTGTGATTTGTGCATATCGAGATCCTCGTGGGTTCCAACAGGTCCGACACCCACCGAACAGACCGGTGAAAGCCAGCCAGATCGGAGCCTGCAGGTTATTCGCTGCTCCGTCTACCAACGCCTCGGCGACAAAAGCAAGGCTAATCGGGACCTCAGGGAGGTCATTGAACGGGGAAAAACTATCGGATGTGACGCGGACGAAGTCGCGGCCCTTAAGCGTAGAATTGCGGAACTGGAGGGTCGGCACTACACTCAAAGCGAACCTTCACCTCCGCTCCTTCCACCTCCCCCCTTTTCACGACCAACTCCCCGGATCGTGGAACATGCCTCGCCTCTCTCTCCTGACATATTGCAAGAACCCGTCCCCCAGAAGATCAAAGTCCCTCAACTTGGACTCTACGATGGGAGTTCGGACCCGGATTACCACATCGGCCTCTACACTTCGTCGATGGACCTACATGGCGCCACGGACGCTTTGCGCTGTCGCATGTTCTCCCTGACGCTGGGGCCTAAAGCACAAAGGTGGTACCACTCCTTATACCCCCACTCCATCTCTACATGGGGGCAACTCAGGTCGGCGTTCCGGTCACACTTCATCGGGTCGCAGATCAACCTCGCCCCCAAGGAGTCCATCGCCAACATCGTCCAAGGAGAAGACGAGAGCTTGAAAGATTACATTACTCGATTCAACGATCGAGTCCAAAATATGGAACAATGCCACCCAGAGGCGCTGTTGATCTCGGTGCAGGCCGGCCTGAAGCCGAAGACTTTGTTCAAATGGTCCTTTTGCCAAAACAAGCCAACCACATACCAAGAATTTCTTGTCCGCGCCCAAAATTACATCATGGCCGAAGAATCCTCGTCCATCCCGGTGCTCGATGCCGCGTTAAACAAGGGAAAGGCGAAGGATGAAAAATCGGGAAAATCGGGCAAATCATTTGCTGAGATCTGAGCCATGAGGAGGCAGAAGGCGGAGGAACTCAAGGAGAGCTATCAAGGCGTCTTTTCAGTAGGTGCCGCGGCCGTCTACGAGGACATCAAGACTAAAGTATTGCTGCCAGATCCGAAACCGATGTTTACAGATAAAGACAAGGTGGACAAATCTCGATACTGTACCTACCATAAGGCGCATGGGCACAATACCGACCAGTGCCGTAACCTGATCTCGGCGCTGCTTAAGTTGATCGATGACCCACAGGTGAAAAGGTTTACCCACTCAGGGGAGAAAAGGAAGAAGGGAGGCCGTTTCGAAGACGGTCTTGACAGTGAAGATGATACTGACGTGAATCCCCGAAGGAAGAAGCCGCAACAGGGTGGTCCCAATGAGATCCTGACATTGAACCCGGCCCATCAGGGTGAGGCCGGAACCTCGAGAGGCCGAAAGTGAAACCGGTCCCCGTCATCAGGGGCCGACCAGGCCTATTCCCCACCCCGGCGCGTGAACACTAGCCGAGGTGAATCCCTCTTGTCGAGAAGACAGACCAAAGCTTGTGCCCGGCAGGCCTATTACGCCGGGCAGAGGGTGATGCACGCTGGGAGCAGACCGACACCTGAACCGACTCCCAACAAGATTTCATTCACCGACGAGGATGCCTTCCTCTTTGACCATCCCATTCCGACGCTTTGGTGATCACTGCGCCCATCATGGCAATCAAGATCCATCATGGTCGACACTGGGGCCTACGCGAGCATCCTCTATTACAACACTTTCAAGAAGATGGGAATAGATTCAAAGGATGTGCAACCATGCCGGGAACGGATCCAGGGCTTCAACGGACAAACAACTACCTCGGTCGGCCAAGTTACACTGCCGATCCGGTTCGGGGAGAAGGGGCAACCCACGAAAACCATCCTTGAGACCTTGAAAATCGTGGACTGCCGAAGCAAATACAATGCCATCTTAGGCAGGACGACACTTTACAAACTGAGAGGTGCCGTCTCCATCTTTAACTATTCCCTCAAGTTCCCGACCTCAGACGGGGAAGGAACGCACCGAGGAGACCAGAGGGAAGCTCAGGAGTGCGTTCTGACCATTCCACGGTTGGAGATAAATGCCGCCAACCCCGTTTCGAACACCGAGGTGGTAGCTGTCCAGGAGCACCCACAGACCGTCCCCAACGAAAGCACCGAGCCGGTGTCTGACGGAACAGGGGGCAACCGCATACTGGGAAACCAGATAGATTCGCCTCCTTTGTCGGAGATAAATGCCGTCCTAGTCAGCACGAGTGCCGAGATCAACCCAAGTCTGGGGGCCGAGCAGGCTCGCCTCGATCTGAGGGACGACCGCACACTGAGCAATCAGACAGGTCCACTCCCTCTGGTTGAAGATGACGCCGGCCAGGCGGGAGAAGGGTCCGGTGCTGACCTGGACCAAGATAGGGGCCGGAGAGCCGGGAAGGAGCCGGTCGCAAAAAAAGATGAGCTCGACCCCTGCACGCAATACGAAGAGAAGAGGGGGACCAAAAGAGCCGAGCCAATGGACGAAGTTGAGATCATTTTCATTGATGAAGAGACTTGCAAAAAGCAGCTCCGGATTGGGAGTAGGTTACCGGAACCGCTGAAGACCGAACTAATCAAATTCCTTCGGGAAGACGCGGATGTTTTCGCATGGACCCACGAGGACATGGTCGGCATCGACCCGAAAGTTGCCTGCCACAGACTTCAGGTCGACCCCACAGTCAAACCCGTGGTACAGAAATGGAGAAAGCTCGGCCCCGATAGCCAACAGGCCCTCGAAGAGGAGGTGATAAAGTTGAAGGACAACGAATATATCCAGGAGGTCCGATACCCGACCTGGGTCGCCAACCCGGTCCTCGTGAAAAAGAGCAACGGGGCATGGCGCTTATGCATAGACTTTTTCGATCTGAACAAGGCGTGTCCCAAAGATAGCTACCCCTTGCCCCACATCGATTATATGGTGGATGCCACCTCGGGACACGAGTTGATGAGCTTCATGGACGCGTACTCAGGATATAATCAAATACCCATGCACCCCGACGACGAAGAGCACACGTCCTTCTACTCGGCACGTGGGCTCTACTGTTACACGATGATGTCGTTCGGACTAAAGAACGCCGGGGCAACCTACCAACGTCTTGTTAACAAGATGTTCGCTAGTTTGATAGGCGTGAGCATGGAAGTGTATGTAGATGATATGTTAGTCAAATCCGTGTACGTGTCTGATCATGTTAACGATCTCAATAAAATGTTTTCTATTTTGCGTGATTATTCGATGAAATTAAATCCCAAAAAATGTACGTTTGGTGTCGGGTCGGGGATATTCTTGGGATATATTGTTAGTCAACACGGCATCGACGCAAACCCCGAAAATATCCAGGCAGTGCATGACCTCCAACCACCGACCTCGATCAAGGGAGTCCAGAGTCTAACCTGCAAACTCGCCGCCTTAAGCCGGTTCCTCTCCAAATCGCCGGATTGGTGCAAACCCTTCTTCAACGCAATCAAGAAAAATCGCAAGTTTGAATGGACCCCCGACTGCCAAAAAGCACTAGAAGCCATTAAAGAGACCCTCTGCCGGGCTCCGATGATGCAAAGGCCTCGTCCAGGAGAAACGCTCTATCTTTACCTGGGAGTATCCGAAGTGGCCGTAAGTGCCGCCCTGATCCGCGAAGAGAACTCTTGTCAATACCCGGTCTACTACGTGATTAAGGCACTCCACGATGCCGAGCTGCGTTACGCACCTATGGAGAAACTCGCTTTCGCGCTGGTGACTGCTGCCCGGAAGCTGAGGCCGTATTTCCTAGAGTATTCAATCGCCGTTCTCACCTCCTACCCCATTAGACAGATCCTACACCGGCCGGACACCTCCGGTCGGATGGTGAAGTGGGCGGTGGAGCTGGGGCAGTATGACATCCACTACCGACCCCGAACAGCAATGAAGGGGCAGGTACTCTCGGACTTCATAGCGGAATTCACGCCGGGAGTTGAAGAAGCAAAAACTGAGGAGCCGTGGGTGATGTACGTGGACGGGTCCTCCGTTGCCGGACGAGCAGGCGGAGGAGTCGTCCTCGTAGATCCCCAGAAAAAACTCTTCTGTCATTCGATCCAATACCTTTTCCTGGCTACCAACAACGAAGCCAAATACGAATCATTGTTGTCCGGGCTCGACCTGGCAAAAGTCATGAGCTTAACCGACCTAATCATATATTCCGACTCTATGTTGATGGTCAAGCAAATCTCTGGAGAATTCGAAGTTAAAGAGCCGAGACTGGTCCCCTACCTGGGGCTGGTGAGAAGAAGCTAGCCAAGCTCCGAACTCGAATCGAGCACATCCCCCAGACGGATAACGTGCAGGCCGACGCCCTGGCCCGCCTCGCCTCAAGTGCCGGGGTGGAAAGCGTCGAGTATGTTCAAGTAGGACACAAGGAACAACCCTTTGTGCCCGGCACCTCTGTGTTAAGTTC